TGTCTATGTAACTTGTGAAACAGTCTTGTGGTACAGCTCACTATAATTATAAATGGTACATTTGTCTATGTAACTTGTGAAACAGTCTTGTGGTACAGCTCACTATAATTATAAATGGTACATTTGTCTATGTAACTTGTGAAACAGTCTTGTGGTACAGCTCACTATAATTATAAATGGAAGCTTCATCTAATGATCTTGTTTCCAGTTTCACATAAAAAAAACAATGAAAAAAAGTTTCTACAGAATGAACTATAATACACGTGAATAAGTGAATACTCACATACAATGATTTTTTTTAAATATATACCTAACTAGAATTTATTGGCTATTAATATTCATTTCTACCTGAAGGAAAGGCTGGTCTGGGAATATTTACAAACTTGTTGATATGACTAGGGCCGAACCCTGGAGGAGGAGGAACTCTTCTTGATGATTCTTGACTGGAGTTCAAAAGGAAATGGTTAGGATAACCCGGAGAGTCCATCAAGTGAGAATAAGGAGGATGTACTGATTCCATTTTGTGATTAATTAGCTGAGGCAGTTGTTGTGGCTTTTGAGTGGCTTCTTTTTCTAAGAGATCAGCTAATCCCTTAGCCGATTCATCCCACGGATCAAAACCTAAAACAATCATTTATAGGCTATTAATTCAGCATAATTTGTCAGTATTTATTTTTAAACTGTGAATCAAAGACCTGAAACATACCTAACTCATCATCTTGATGTTTGCGATTAGACGAGGTGAACCCAAATGCCGCTTGCCAATCTGTGCTACACTGTACTGGAATAGTTTCTGAAGAAAGGACAAGATCTTGGTTGTTTATCCAATCTTCTATAGGGAGAGAAAAAAATAAAAGACAATCTTACTTTTAAGATATGCAAAGAAATTGGCAACATATGTGAGCTCAAAATTTACAAGAAATTTACAAACACTAAAAATATACATTTTGTTGTTTCTCTTTATAAACTGCTGCTAACATGCACCCACTTAAAAACCCTTACTCTAAAAACACAATGTTAGACCCTAAAGCTTTTTTTTTGTACCTCAATATCAAAATATTTCAAGAAAGCACTCTCAGTTTCAGACAAACTTAATATTCATATAATTATAATCAGCTATACCACAAGACTGTTTCACAAGTTACATAGACAAATAGTTAATGGGGTTTGTTTCTCTTCCACTGGATGCTTTCTGTAAGGAATAAAAAAAAAAACCAGTAGTGTATTTCAATATTGAATTTACATCTAACTTTTTAAAGTACTATCTGAATATTTGAAACTGTTAGTACTTGGTGAAACTCTATAATTACAGAATTAATGAAAAACAAGACAACTATACATTTCACAAATACATCATTTGTTCACGACCATGGTTTTTGTCAGTAAAGACATTGTCAGGAACCTGATGATCTTTTATTGGAGAAATCATGATTGTAAATAAATGAGGTATTTCTGAAATGTATAGTTGTCTTGTTTTCCCCAATTCTTAATATCTGAATATTAAAAGCAGAAGGTTTCTTGTTTCTGAAATGTGCAATGTTATAGTATAATAAATTTTCCCAAGCCTCAAAATTGGATTTTTCATTAGGGGAACAAATAGCCCATAGCAAGTAACTGATGGCAAGTGAATGTTAACTAGAAGTTCTGAACATTTGTATGATCATAAAATTTGGTAAACTTGTATCTTATTCATTCAGTCATAGCT